ATGCCAGGATTATCTGGCTGATAATGATATTATCATCACAAAACAAATGGAACCATTTCAGTTCTCCAGCTCTACACTTCCCAGTTGAATTTACACTTTGTTCTCTAGTGTGAAATTATCATGACAACATAGTTTTCTGGTTCTTGCCATATTCTCTGAACTTTACATCTGATTTCTTTGTGGTTTTTTTTTTTTTGCTGCCCTTAATTACTGGTGTTCCCCAGATTCCTTTATTAATCCTCTGAATTATTAATCATCTGAACTTCTCATTCTATGTCATCTCTTGTGAGTGAATCTCTGCCCTGTATCCTGAAGATACCAATTCCATGTCACCATTTCAAGACTTCTCCATGACATGAGAAGTCTTTTTCCTGAAAATTTCAGTTTTATATGTTCAAATGTCCAATAATCACCATCAAACTCAACCTGTCTTAACCTAAACTCCTCATTACCTCTTCCTAATTTGCTTTTTCATTATCACTTGTGAAATCACAATCCATCCTTCTCCTCACTAAATATCTGGGAGTGATCCTTGACTCTTTTCTCTTTCTCTTCTTTACTTGATTATTCAAAGAATCCTAAAGTTCTTCTGATTTTACCCCCTAGATATTTCTTGAATATATTTCTTCCTATTAATAGCCATTACTTCTGGTTTATTTCAAGCCTTCCTTATCTTATGCTTGAACCACTGTAATGATATTTCCACTGTTTTTATGTCTTTATTTTTATTCATTAATATTCACCTTACCAGAAGTCTCCAACTGTCATAGTAAGTTATCAAAGTCATAAAACTGAATAAACCACTTTTAATTTAAAACTCCCTTTTTACCAAGTGTCCTTTTTACCAAGCTTGTCAAAATAATGTGAGTCCCCAAATATCTGGCTCCTATATTCCTTTCCAACTTCATCTTCAAGTCATGCCCTATTTTTAATGCTTATAATTGAATATATTCACTTATTGCTCATAATTTCAAATATATGAGAAGTAAAATTCAGGAAAGGTGGTAGCAAGAAGGGTTGGTCTTGTGAAGAGATTGAGTAGTTAGATCATCTGAGAAGTGATAAGAAGCCTTTTTCCTGTCTCTCCACCATAACATACATCCAAGATGTAAGGCCTTAATCTTCCACAATTAATGATTTATTCCATTTTTCAGTTATTGACATTTCCAGGCAATACCTTTAAAGTCTTAATAATTCTTGGCAAGTAACATTATATTCTTATATCTTGGAAATAATAGTTTTTCATGCTAAGGCTGTAGGTCCACATCCCAGAAGTAATGTATAAATGTCTTATGAGGGACATTTCAAACCATACAATGCTTTCCTACCATTTGTAAATTCTTTACCAGGGTTCTCATATATCCCACATAAGCCTCACTGCCCAGGCACAAGCCCTGCTGCTAATGGGTATACATCAGAGCCTTCAGAGCTAGAAAGGGCAAGAAAGAAATGGTGGAATTGTATTAGGGATTTGAGTCCCTGGAGAAAAGTGAAGGGAAGAACAATGAAATAAAATCCCGGGCCTACAAAAAACAAACTTCTCCACCTTAACAGTTTAGCTCAGAACTATCCCTAATCCAGGCATTACTTTCTAAAAGTGTTGCTTTGTTTCCTTTATATTAGTTGGGAACTCTGAAGTAGTGCTATACAAATCTACTTTGTTTTCCTTCCTAAACAAATCCCTCCAATGTAGAACAAAGAGAATTTATCTCCTCACCTAAAGAGGTTTCAGATATCCTGTAGTATAGAAAGATAAATTGATTAAGGTATTCTTTTGATTCCATACAGTTAGAAAATCTATTTAACTTAGGTGAACATTCCTCAAATTTACTCTCCATAGAATCAGGATTGTTGAATTTTACATCAGAACCAGAAATGAAAGGATCATCATTTCATGTAAAATGTATTCTTTTCTGTGTAGATTATTGGCATTTTCAATAACCTTTTCTGAGTAACAACAAAACAGTGCTTTAGGGAACTATTTTCGTCTACTTGATATGAATGCAAGGAAGTATGAACCCATCATTTAAAAGAAAACTTGTTCTTTATGTGTAAATTGTATTCTAGTTGTTTGCTGAGAGACATTTACTCTTTAGAGGATTAAAATAAAATAATTGAAAAATACATATTTTCTACCCTGTAGTTATAATGAGTTTTCTGAATAAAATTATTATGAATAAGATTATGTACCCATAGGCTGTATTATAATTACAGATTATGAGAGTTTTATTTCCATATTGATTTGAGAGAGAATATTCATAAAGGAGACTAATGTACATGCATCTTACTAGCTCCTTAAAGTTTGCCTATACGTAACTCTTTAGTTTGGAATTCAAGGATTCATTTTCTAATCAGTTGGCTTCATCTTCTATATTTAGATTATCCCATATCTTCTCTGTGAAACGCTCTGCTCCAGCTAAACTTGTTAACCTTCTTCTAGGCACAACTAAGTCTTTCCTACTCCTTTGCCTTTTTTCACAATTTATTGGCTACACTTAAAAATCTCCCCTTTACCAGGGAAACCACTAACACCAAAGCTTATCTCTTTTCTTTCTTATCAAAACATACCATTTGTTAAATAATACATTTGATCACCAAGCAAAAATATATCGACCACTTATTGTCATAAACAATGCTTGGTGTTATGATAAATGTATGCAATACATTTCTAAATATCCCATGTGTCAAAGAAAAATTAAGTGGAGTTTTGGAAATATTTTGATCTAGCTGATGATGAAAACATTAAATTGAAACTTGGAATGAAGCTAATCAGTGTTTAGAGTGAAATTTATACTCTTTAAAAGCATTCATTAGTAAAGAAGAAAGATTGAAAATCAAATATCTAGGAAGACAATAATTTTTTAGTGCTGAAAATTAAACACAAAGAAAGTAAGTTGAAGGAAGAGTTTAAAAAATGAAAGATGAGACACTAATGAAATAGAAATTAAATTGCACAATAGAGAAAGCAACAAACTCAAAGTTAGATTCTATATTGAAACTGATAAAATTGATACACTCTTATGAAAACTTACTAAGAACAAAATAGAGAAGGCACAAAACATCAATATCAGAAAGGTAAAAGGGCTATCATTACAGATCCAACAGATAAAGATAAACACATTTTCCAATACATTTAAAAAAATTAATAAATACATATTTTGAATCCATAATTATAATGTTTCCCCAAAGAAAATTCTAGCTAGATGGCTTCACTAATCAATTCTTTCAGACATTTAAGGAAAAACTAACCCCAATCTTACACCAAAACTCCCAAAAATTTAAAAAGAGGAAACATTCACTCATTTTATGGAGTTGTAATAACCTTGATAACAAAACCTAACAAGAATGGAAAAGAAAGGAAGCATTCAGGCTGACTTATCTTGTGGACATAGAGGCCTAGACCTAAACAAATTAGCAGATCAAATCTGAAAATATATGTTAAAGGTAAAATGTAAAGAAGTTGATTTTATTTCAGAAATGAAATTTCAAAAAAATGAATATAATTAACCAGAATAATAGAATGAAGGGAAATCATATTAATCATACTAGATGCATTAGATATAATTAATCACTAGAGTAAAAACTCTTAATATAATCAATTTTATATGAAAACCATTAGCAAATATACTCAAATGGAGAAAAATTGGAGGATTTCTTTCTGAGAATTGAAATAAGATAAGGTTGTCTGCTGTCAACACTTGTATTACACACTGTACTGGGTTCCCTAACCAGGTGAGAGAAATAATAGGTACAAGAATTAAAAAGCAAGAAATAAAACTCTTTATTCATAGATGAAATGATTATCCATTTGAAAAATATCAAAAGCATCTGCAGATGAAGTATTTTAAGTAGTAAGCTAATTTACCAAGTTTTCTGTAAAAAAGTTATTCTTTCCTTCCTCCTCTTTCCCAACTTCTCTTTCTCTCTTCCTCTCTCTCTTTCTGGCTCATGACATTGACTTTCTTGAAAAGATATGACCAGGTACACTGTACACATTTTGATTGCTATTATTGTTGCTTCAGACTATTATTTAAAATGCTTTTATACCTGTATTTGGCTAAACAAAAGCTAAATCTTTGGCTTAACTGGATGCCAACTGGATAGTTGGATGCTTTGGCAAGAATACTTCAGAGATGATAGTGTATATATCATACTGCATGTAATTAGGAAACACAAGATGTCTGGCTGTGCCACTAAGAATGAATGGTTCTAAGTTTCAACAATGAGTTAAGTGGTGACAACCACATTTCTTCATTTCAAAGTTGTATTGTTCCCCTTGCAACTCTGTGGAGTGATGGCAATATTTAGTTCCCCATTCATCTTTCTAATGGCTGCTAGTGTCCTCTGAAGATTCTCATTTGAATCAATTTCTTGAGTGGAATATACTGATTTCCTATGAATACTTTCTATGGTTTTGATGTTTAAATAGGTAAACAGTGAACACTCCACTAACAGCAATAAATCTTAGAGAGAAAACACTTCAGGGAAAGCAGCACCTCAAAGACGATCTTTCTTTTTTAGTATTTGTGATGGGATGACTTCATTTCATATTTAAATTAATCTCAGGCATGACTACACTGTCCTTTCAGATCATTAAGCTGTGTTAAACTTAAATTTAAAGGAGCATCTAGTTGACATTTTCAAGACACTAAATGACTCTAGTAATAACCTGGAATGTAAGTCGATTAATCATAGTCCTGTCAAGTGAAATTCTTTGTAGAGTTTGTTTATCAAAGCAGAGCATAAAAGAATAAAACAGAGAAGTGGTGGCAAAATGAGCCAGAAAGAGGCAAGGGATTATTTTTTCTCTAATTCATTAAGACTACATTTAAAATAGGTTTTAATTGGATTACAGAGAAATAAGACATGTTGAAAAGCTTTTAAAAAAAATGTTAAGAAGAAATATTTGGCATTGAATGAGTCACAAAATTCTTTAATTTTTGCCCAGAAGCAGCATTTCCCCCTGGAACTTTTATTTAAACCTTGTCTCTGCTTTGCAGTTGTACCTGGAAAGAAGGAAGAGAAAACAACGAAGACAGTGGAGCAAGGTAAAAAAAAATGAAGGAGGCTGACATTATCTTCTTTAGAAAGACAACAGCATGAGGAGGAAAGCTCTGAAATGAGACAGGAGGAAGACAGTAACCTTTACATCTGTTGCTCTCTATCACTGTCCTTGCTTGCTTTTCTGTGCCAGGGAGAATGTGAGGTGGCAATCTGGGCTTTTGTTCTTTTGTATAACTAAACTTTGAGTATAAATTTAGAACAAGAAAACTCCACAGACTGCTTAATTACATCAGGAAAAATGCTAAAGATGATTAGGAACAGGGAAATGATCTGGGTGGGTCAACTAGTAGACATTTTTCTGTTTGATTTGTGGTTTGAACACCTCCTAATAGTTTAAAGAAATAAAGTGACACCATTCTATGTATGCACAAATAATTTCTATTGCTTAAAAGAATAGTATGTGCAACTTAAAGGAAAACACAGCAATGAAAGGAAGTTATTTCAGTTTTTTTTATGACTTCAGTAATCAATCCTCTCAAGAAGTCTGAAATTTCAATGTTAAAAAACCATGCTATAAATAATGCATTTTGTTTTTATTTATGCAGCTACATAATAAATATATCACTCCAGAATATGCTCAAGAAAAATGTGGAAGCACAGATTTAAAAGTTTTAAAGTGATGTTGGTCTCTCTATTAGAGTTCATAGTACTGATAATTTTAATTATGGCTCACCCAACTCTTTGGCTTTTTATTTATTGTAATATAATATTTCTTACTAATTATAATAAAATCAGAACTAGTAATAATTTTGTCAAGAAGGAAATCAAAATAATTTCCCTTTGAATTTATAATGCAGTTAAATTTCTAACATCAGAAATTTAGAATTTTTGATATAAATCTATCAAGAAAATCCTTTAATCCCTCTCATTTCAGAGAAGTAAATTAAGAGTAAGAATTGAATTAAGTTAAAAGATTGGTTGAGTATTCATTTCCTTGGGCTTTTCAAAATAAAATCACATTACAATCACACTGAAACACTTTTCAAATTCATTTTGGCTTCTGGGACTACCTGAAATTTTGGAATTCAAAGGAATGTTTGTATGTACTTTCTGAAGTAGGTACTTTAGCCTCTGAAATACAAAGCAGAGGAGGAGGAGCTCTGCCTCCCAGTTTTAACTTGTTCACTTAGGCAAGGCTATGGGCCTAAATTTCCTTTCAAAATGGAACTAATTATATCTGACCTGACTATCCAATAAGATATGAAGTTCAAACAAGAAAACATATATGAAAAGAAAGGATATGAAAAATCATAAATTCCAGATAAGTCTATAGTGTTTACTCAGACATTTTTCCTTGTAAAATCAGTTTCAAAACAGATGAGATAAACTATTTAACTACTTTAATTTCACTAAGATTCATAGTATTTTTCCCTCTCCAATATAAAAGGTGTTGATTACTCATCTTAGGGCATTCCTAGATTGCTTTCATAGCCACAGCATATTAAGAGAAAATTGACTAGAATATAAAATGCCCACACTAATCACAGTACCTAACAGATAACTGATTGAAACATGGATTATTTCTTCTGACTTGCATGTTGGCATCACTTTCAGTAATTCTATTGATGAGGAAATATTCAGAAAGCTCTCAAATCCCTCCCCCTCTTGGCAGGTGTGGTGAGAAGCCAGGGAAGCTTAGGAAACAGGGTTTCTATTGAGGCTTCAGAAATACAGAGGAATCACAAGGTTCCTGGGTGCTTGGGATTGAAACAATGTAGCATTGTATTCCCCCCTGACCGGGACTCAGTGGTATGGAACAGTTTGTTGATCATAGCCATGGAAGCCCATTAGTTTATAACACCGTACCTGGGTAACCTTTACAGAAATGGATTAAAATATAACTAGCATCCTGAATACACCTATAGTGAACTAGTAGCTCCCACTGCAACATTTCCTGGGTGCTGACTCCCCCCTAGCTTTGCAGTAAATGTATAAAAGACATGGCCCTGCTGTACTGGGGGTTCAATGGAATTCAAAGGAATGTTTGTATGTACTTTCTGAAGTAGGTACTTTAGCCTCTGAAATACAAAGCAGAGGAGGAGGAGCTCTGCCTCCCAGTTTTAACTTGTTCACTTAGGCAAGGCTATGGGCCTAAATTTCCTTTCAAAATGGAACTAGTTATATCTGACCTGACTATCCAATAAGATATGAAGTTCAAACAAGAAAACATATATGAAAAGAAAGGATATGAAAAATCATAAATTCCAGATAAGTCTATAGTGTTTACTCAGACATTTTTCCTTGTAAAATCAGTTTCAAAACAGATGAGATAAACTATTTAACTACTTTAATTTCACTAAGATTCATAGTATTTTTCCCTCTCCAATATAAAAGGTGTTGATTACTCATCTTAGGGCATTCCTAGATTGCTTTCATAGCCACAGCATATTAAGAGAAAATTGACTAGAATATAAAATGCCCACACTAATCACAGTACCTAACAGATAACTGATTGAAACATGGATTATTTCTTCTGACTTGCATGTTGGCATCACTTTCAGTAATTCTATTGATGAGGAAATATTCAGAAAGCTCTCAAATCCCTCCCCCTCTTGGCAGGTGTGGTGAGAAGCCAGGGAAGCTTAGGAAACAGGGTTTCTATTGAGGCTTCAGAAATACAGAGGAATCACAAGGTTCCTGGGTGCTTGGGATTGAAACAATGTAGCATTGTATTCCCCCCTGACCGGGACTCAGTGGTATGGAACAGTTTGTTGATCATAGCCATGGAAGCCCATTAGTTTATAACACCGTACCTGGGTAACCTTTACAGAAATGGATTAAAATATAACTAGCATCCTGAATACACCTATAGTGAACTAGTAGCTCCCACTGCAACATTTCCTGGGTGCTGACTCCCCCCTAGCTTTGCAGTAAATGTATAAAAGACATGGCCCTGCTGTACTGGGGGTTCAGACCTTTGGAGATCACTGTCCTCTGAGGCCACCAGTGTAAAATAAACCTCCACCCTCCAAGACCTCCAAGTGACGCTTGGTTCTTCCGTCAGGGATCCAGTCCAAGCTTTCTGGTTTTCTGTAACACTGTAATGTTTCCTCAAATAGGAGACTAGAAATGGCTTCACAGATGTGAACTTGCTCCTCAGATGAATCTATAATTTATTTTTTAATTAAAAATACCTATTATCTTATGAAAGCTTAGATTCTTGGTTTCTGTAAAAAAAAAGAAAGAGAAAAGAGGTCCTTTCAATGGCTCTTTTTATGTTGACTTAATCATTTCAGTTTTAAATACTAGAAAGTAATGACCTCATAGTTTTCAACTATAAAAAAATAAGAAATAGAGTGGAGAACTTGCATATTTTTGTGATGGTATATCTACGACTAATAATCAATATGAAAAATATGTATTTTGTGATTTTAATAATGCAGGAAGTTTATATGGGAATAAATCAGTGGCATTCTACAGATTTCATCCTAATATTCTGATATTTATTCATAAGATGATGTTTTAAGACTATTGTGTACTTACCTTCCTTATGCAGTTTTAGTTGTCTTTAAAAGTATAAGTAATCTAAAACTAGTTTGTAATGCAATGAAATACAGTTAAATAGATTTTAAGGAGTTGTTTTCTTTCATTCAAGTTTGAACTGGTGAACTTGTAGGGGGAAAAACATGATTTTCATAATTCTTATAAGATTTAAAATATTTTTGGTGATTTATATAAAACTGTGTATATTGAACCTCTGGCTTACTCTGCATTATAATTGTGCTTCGGGAAGATTGCTTAAGCTACACTTTATGTTTTGAGAAACTCCTATAGTGAAAGGTGGACTGAATTTTATGTTAATGTAAATTAAACTAGGTCTCATATTTTGTAAGAAGTAGAAATTTAGTTAATCTAACTTCTGCAGAAGTCCAAAAATGTAACTCTATTTTATCTCTAATTCATGTTAATTCATGTGTTTCTCAGTTATTCTTATAAAAATTTTATATTGGCTTAACTATATTTTGAGTATTAAGAAACATTTCATAAATTCTTCCACTGTAAAAGCACACACACATGCTCGCACACACACACACACACACACACACACACACACTATTCCTCCTTGTTTAGAAAGCAATTACCTAGAAGCATCAGGACACACAAATATTTTCTATAATAAATGTTACTATTATGGTGAGAGTCAAGGAATGCCAAAGATAAAACATTACCCGTGCTACTGTGTAAGGATTCATCTTTATACATTTGTATGTTACATCTAGAAAAAGTTCATAACATTTCATTGAGCTTAAATTTGAAAAATTAAATTTTAGTAGTTGCAACTGTTGTGAATTTAAAAAAAACTTGAAATAGAAAATTAAACATTTTCCCAATTAAACCAATGTATGAATCTAAATATAGAAATATTAGGCCTTATCCTCACTTTTCTTATTTGTACAATTATGGAGCTGAATTGGATGATCTCATGCTCCTTCCAAATGTAAAACATTTTTGTTCAACAAAGTTTTAAAGTGAATGTTCCTTACATCAGAGTATAGAGTCTTTACTTCTTTAGTGGAAGGTTGGTCTGAAGAGGCTTTCATTTATAGGTTTCTATAAAACTTAGATTCAAATGCTAAGGGAAAACACACTTTATAAACTTGAATACTTATGGATACTGCAGTATCCTAAAATTAAACTGAAAATTTCACTGCATAAATATTAAGTATAGTTTTCCATCCTCATAACAATTGAAAATCACTTCAAAATCCAGTTAAGTAGAAATGTCACAGAAAAATATTCATGAAAAAAGATTAAACAGAATTTGAGTGCCTATTAACCACAAGAATAAATTTGAACACAATTAGTAGTCATTTTATTAAGGGTCAGATTTGAGCGTGTGGATCATAAATGTGTCAAACGCAGTTCATTTCCTGTAATAAAAAATTCTATCCTGCCTTCAATTAAGAAATGTTACTAAATTCATAAACACACTAATTTGTGTCCACCTGAAGAGTTTCTGTCTTTTTTGCCTTTAACGCTATTT